AGCCTATCAGCGAAGCCTGTGGGCCTTTTCTGGAAATTGTCTTTGTTCGTGCCGTGCCAGTGCGGGCGCGTTTGTGCGTGGTGTGTGTGAGCACCGACGCACTGCTGTGCTCCACAGGGCCTGGGCGAGGATACCAGCCGGCTGTGTGACGCCATCAGCGCCATAGCGGAGGTGTTCAAGCTCACCGACCCCAGTCTGCTCTACCTGGAGGTGTCCACCCTGGTCTCCAAGTTCCCCGACATCAGGTGGGTCTGCCCTCGCTCTCGCCCCTGGTGGAGCTGCGGGAGTGGGAGGATTGCAGTCGACAGATCGCCTGTCGAGTGGTGGAGCACGTGGTCAGAGGGGCGTTCTTTAACTGCGGGCAGGCAGATGATGGGGCGACACCCATCAGCCTGTGAGTAATTATAGAAAAGTCTTTCTGGGGTAGCTTCCACATTGTGATGGGTTGTTAGGAACGTGCAAGCGTTGGCTTTTGACGAGCGCATGAACCTGTGACAGTTTTCATTGAACCGGAGCTTATTGACCTGGTGACCGTTTAGAGCTCTCTGTGCAGTAAGGAGTGGTGATCATGCCGGGGGAGCTGTATGGTGGTCTGAAAGCACGGTTGTGAGTCTCGAGTCCCGTCGAAGTGCCGTTTTATCTCCCGCCCTCCAGGGAAGAGCACATCCTGGCTTTGCTGGCCGTGCGGGGAGACGCCAGCCGGGACATGCGGCAGACGATCATCGAGACTCTGAACCAGAGCAAGCCCTCGTCGAACGGCAGCGTGCAGCCTCTTTTCAAAGACATAGCTGTCCCCACGATGACCGTGCCGAAGCTGCTCAAGTAAACGAGTGGCGGCAGCTCGAACTCTTCACCTGCGTTCATGAAATACGAGGAACGGGTTTGAACGAATTGTTTTTCCTTGTGCACTCTGGGATTGGACATTTTCTGGAAGGGACGCACGAGAATCTGGGACACCTGTGGTGGAATTCGAGCCCTGGAAAATACTGTAATTTGTTTCGTTGTATCGGTAACACGTCTAACATTTGATACTTGATGTACAGGGAAAAAAAAAAACATTGCTCACCTTTGCCTTTTTCATGATCGACATCCAGCTTGTGTAAGGGCCACATTTGTTTAGTTCGGAAAACACTATTTGTAGCTGGTGCATGCGTTTCTGGAATATTTTGTTGTATATTAAAAATAAAATTGCTTTTGGTCATCCTGGAGAACTGCTTTTTACCTCTGTTCTGTTTGAATAGGACCCTTTGGTACTGAAGCACACGGATTCACACGTTTGGAAGGTACAGTACATGGTCTTCTGTTAAATGAAATTGAAAGTGATTGAACGATATTTAAAGGAACCTAAATTTCGTATTGTCATTTAAAATCTCGTCAAAGTTAAGGA